TCAATATTTATAATATCAGAAATGTCATCTTTTACAACTATTTTAAATCATGATGAAAAATTTTAGATGAAAAACTGTTAACATGTATAAAGAGAGAACAGAGTTTTTCAAAATCCTTTTAGGAAGCACTGGGAGAAAAACATTCAGATGCTGTTCTAAACTATCTGAAAGCCAAGTGCATGTGCTGCCCATGTAAAATTTGGTCAAATTTTGGTTAAATTGATTTCTAATAGAAAGACAAGGCCAGGATTATTTCAGAAATGGGCAAAAACTGTCTCAAAGTCTCCTACAAATTGTCAAATCCAGAACTCTGAACATATTATATACTCAATAAACACTAGCTCATTGATAAAATATTTTGGCCATTCAACTGATTATTAATAACATACCTTTCTATTTCTAACTTTCAAGGAGAGCTTTCAAATTTAAGCAAATACCAGTCAGAGGTATGTTAATGAAACAAAGCCCTGGACTAGGCAAAAAGTATGCCGAATTTTACTCCCTAATTTTTTTCCCAGATTTCCACCATATCTGCCAAATATGGTACCTGGTCCAGGAAGCCATGCAAATGAACAAAATAATCTTTATCATGAAAGAGGACCCAAAAGAAGGCAGGGCCATTATCTTGCATAGATATTATAATAGGAGTACAGGCTTACAGGCTCAGTACAGTGGGGAGAATGAGGAGTTCTTGGGGGTGGTAGGCAGAGGGAAAGTGTATTGAATGGTCTTCTAGAATCAGTATGCTTGAACTTATTTTCAAAAGATGGCAGGTGTTTGACAAGAGGATCCAAGCCCCCTAGATAGAGGGAAGGAACACAGCCATGGAGTGTAGCCATCACCCTGCCTGTACTATAGATAGTTTAGGATGGCTGGTATATGAAGGTGTGCTTGTGCAGGCTATGTCCATGGTGCATGTACTGGTGATCAAGAAATGACAGGGTAGAGCAAGATTTAAAGCTAGAGAGTTGCAGAAGCCAACAAAGGAAGACTATTACATGGCTCACCAAGGAGTCTGGACTTGACCATCTGGCAAAGCATGCCATTAAAGGGTTACTACACTGGGCAGTGATGATATGAGATTTGCCTTTCAGAAAGATTACTTCTCTGTGGTGTAGACAACAAATCTGGGGGGTAGAAGATAGGAAAGACTACAAACTGAACTTGGTTGGAAGATAATCAGCAGTGATCCTGGAAAAGACTCAAGACAGCACAAGCTCTGGAGGGAAAGTGTTGATGGGAGGAAACTTAAGAATATGGACTCTGGTTAAGCTGCTTACCAGTTCTATAAGGAGCAGTTTAAGAGGGGATGGGGCGAAGATAAGCCCAGAATGATTTCTAGGTTTCTCTGGGTCATGTAATTTGGTCAACAGTACTGTTATTTGCAAAATAATGGAATCTAAAGTTAATAGCAAGTTTTGGGAAAAAGAAAGTATCTTCAGTTTACTAACTCCAGGTCCTTGTTTATTCCAGGAGGCAGGTACTATAGGTATTATTAACCCTATTGTATTCTCTAAGTGGTAAAATTACTTGCCAATATCACATATAGCAGTTTGGGAAGCTTACTACGAATCAGGTTCAAGAGCAGGTAAACAGGGAAACAGGTCCTGTGAAAGCACTTATATTTTCACAAGTTCTGTGAAAGCACTTATATTTTGGTGAGAGGCGAAGGCAATAGAAGAAAACAAACTAGCAGACAATAAACCAAAGTCTGAAAAACTATGATGGAAGCAGGTGTGGGGAGTATGAGGACTTTACCTGAGGTGGTCAAGGAAGATACCTCTGAGGTAACATTTTAGTTGACTCTTCATTGAGGAGAAGGAAGCAGTCATGCAAATTCCTAAGGGAAGAAATTCCAGGCAGAGAACAACTGAGAAGTCCCTGAGGTAGTTACTAGCGTGGCGTGCCACTGAGGGAGGAATTCCAAATAGATGGCAAGTGGGGAGCAAGAGAAAGTCTCGCTTCCAAGGACATTCCTGGGAAGGTGAAGGTGAAAGACTTGTGACACCTTTGGGCAGCGCTAGCACAGCATAAACTCTCATAAGCCTGGGAACCTGACCACCATACACAACACTGCATCTGAGACTGCATCATGATTCACAAACGCCTTGGAAGACAAGTAATTGCTCGGTTGAGGACTGTCTATTTTGGCATTGGAAGAGGGCCAGGATCAAACTCACTTAGTTTTTTCTAGAGAGATGAACTTTAAAATCTTTAGATGAACGGAATTCCTCTGAAATGTATCCACTGAGAACACGAAACTCTGTG